ACTCTCGTTGCTGACGTTACGTTTGATCGAATCCAAGTGTCCAAGTACCTGCTCTAACGCTCCAGGAGGCGGGGACTGAGTTGCGTTTTGACCAATGATTTTGCTCCGTTCAGGCAAAACTAATTATACTGATTTATGCTCCCATTGTTCATTGTTGTATGTCTTTCTGGCTATACGTTTTCATGCATATGCATTGTGATGCATCGCCTATCAACTTTTGTTTTTCCAACATCGAAAACTGAGCGAACGATTATACTAATTCAGAATTATATTTTGGATGCTAGTTCACACAACTTTTCCACTAATCTGAAATTATTGGGACTTTGCCTAATAAGAAGACAGTTTTGTTATGGTATTGCAACGCTGGTAAACAACATTAACCTTGATAGAACAAAGAAAAAGTAAGGATATTATTTTGTTTCACCTCTTATTTCGTTTTACAGAAATTGGAACAAGACTGATTAACAAATCTAATAATGATAGCCCAATATTAAAGTTATCGCCATATATCAACGCTTCAACCTGTCGCAATCGCAATGTACCATAAAAAGACTACAGATAACACTGTCAACCATTGTATATCAATATTGCGCTAATATATTCCAGCTTGCGAAAACAGAGCAAATCGTCCCGTGCGCCCGCGCATTCACCTGTCGCTCGCACGTGGGCGGAGTCGAGGAATTCGACTTTCACGCTTTTTTCCCTTTGCTAGTGCCACCGGAATTCGGGTGCGATATTTTCTGCGGTTGGAATCCGAAGGCTGTAACGCGAGTTGAGATATTTATTTCCTTGCCGTTCTGAGATTTATGTGACAAGTTTCGCTTTTTTGCATTGAATTTATTTGAAGGGTCCTTATTATTTAACAGGTGATTGCGTCATTTTATCTTTTTGGTAGGGTAGATAAGGAAATGATTAAACAACGCCATATTCAAACATAAATATTGCTATCTTTTTTGGTACATTTGTAGTTTATTATATTCGTAGTAGCTTCGAATGAAATTCAAATAGTCAAACGTCCGTCATCATAACGTTTTGGAATTTCGTGAAATGTTTCACATTCACATCTAAGCAATCGCGTGTCGCTCGCGATAATGGAAATAGGGCAGGTGGTAAACAACAATAACAGCCAAATCCACGGCTGGGGCGAGGTTGAGTGGCTTCCGACGAAAGATTGATCGGTTAGTAAATTTTATGAAATATGATTTTAGCTGAAAGTGGGTCGAAGTGACCGACGTGGTTGTACATAATTTATCGTTTACAAAAACATATTATAGTAATGTAAATAATATTTATTTTGCTTCTTCATTTTGATTTACTATTTTAAAATCATTTGGTGCCATTCGCCTGCTTATATACAATCAGAAGTTCGGTTCCCGCACAAGGAAATATTTTTTAATAAGAAAATATCTACACATCCATTCTGAGTGATATACGAGGCTCCATTTATTTAAGATTCATAATGTTTTATTTGGAACTACAAAACAAAACAACAAAGGGTTATTCATAGCGAGTTGACAGAATTAAAATGATGCTCACCGTTGCACGTTTGTCACAGTCAAGATCAACAGTTTCCTGCACTATCGAGTTACTAATCAAAACTGAAATAGGATCACACTTGAATGCTTCTGCTTACATCTTATAACAAATATGTATTATTAAAATTAAAAAATACATAATTTCACATAAGGCATTGATATCTCTATCTTGCAGTGCGGTGAGTCCAAGCGGATTTTTACGTAGACTAGTAGTTATATTGACCGAGCATGAAGTGCCCTGATATGAAAAAGCGTGGGGCAGAATAAACATACATATTTTGTGTATATACATAGAAACAATTTATCAGACGGATAGACTGATATGTTACCTTTGCTTTCAGTACATCAATCACTTCCTGTGGATAATCATGAATAAGTATGGATGATATTAGTTAAAAATAGACCAAAGCCAGGATAAGTCGCTAGTATAGATTGAATAAAAGTTAAATATTTATAGAAGATTTAGTTAACAATGAGCTTATAAACTGCGATCATCAGTGTAGGTACAAATGGGAAGCAAACAATAGGTGTATACGTTAAACTGAGGCGTGACTTAGAAGTGAAGATAACATTTCATATTTACATTGCAGTTAAGATAAAGATTTCTTTGTTTAAGTCTGAAACTAAACAAATTTCCATGCTAATTCTAAAGCAAAACAACTAAATCCCAGCTCGCGATATCAATTTTGATAAGATTTTGATCTTTAACGGAGTTAAGCAAATGTTTATAATCAGATTTGAGCTTTGTAATAGAATTTGTAATGCATAAATATTATTAAATATAACCATCTAGTACAATTCAGTTGGTTTCCATTACTACTAGGTAGCATGAGTTCGATTCTTGCATAGTGCTAAAATAATTATTAGGCAAAAAGTTTGTCATAAGCTTCTGCTAATGAAAACTAAGCCTTTAAAGAAAACTTTAAAAAAACCTATACCACTCTCATAAATACTCCATTACAAAATACCATTTATTTTCTCCATTACAAAATACCATTTATTTTACTACAAATTTAAAGTGATACGAATAATACTTAAAATACACTGTCGTGTATAATATAATCTAATAATAATATGTCTGAATGTAAATAATGCATGGAAGCTGCGAAATACTCAAGTGGTCACACAGCGTCCAATTTCGGATTCGATCTCATTACCATAACGCGAGTGCGGCTCAACTGCACCGTAAGACGCTACTGGTCTGGTAAAGAAAAATTTATTTTTAAAACTAAGTATAATATTTTAAATAATTATAAAATTTCGAATTTGTATGATAATGTATATGATGGTGACGACAAATTTGGCTCAATTTATAGTGATTAGGTTGATAATTTTATTTACAAAAGCTACATTGTACATACATATGAGTTAATTAGAATATATGATAATATGAATATAAAGACAATATTTGAATAAAATATTTTAAATAAAATATCCAGTAAGAGATAATTTAAAGTGAATTAAAGGCCCACAAATCCCACTCGCTATTTTACAACGTGGTAGATGCATTAAGAGTCATCTTTAACTCGGGGAATGTACAAGTCGAATTTCATTACCATACCGCTTCGGAGGCACTCGAATACAGACTCCCTAACGCTTCCTTTATACGTTGGACCAAAATGGACCAACGGGATGTTTTCATATATTTTTTTCATATACCATATTATTTTTTCCATTTTTATTACTCAACTAGGAAATTAACTGAAATATTTTTTATGTCAGGAAAATATGTGTGGGATGCGAGTTTAGAAAAACTTTTAGGTATTATATAAATAAAACATTCTAAGTAGTAGCAATTTAGTTGACTAATTCAGTACAAGTATCTAAATTAGTACGATCTCTAAATTAGTGTATTTGGAAATGACATCAGATATACAGCCTGTGTATACAATACATTGTATATATATTTCGTACACAATGTGTATAGATGACCTTAAATGCTCCCTTTTACTTCACAATGTTGAGCCAACGTGTAAACTCCGCCTTACATACGATACGTCCTCAGATTAGACCTAACACTAGAATAGATAGCACACATTATCATACTCAAGTGCGACTGCAAGAATCTGCAGATCTCTTCAAATAGGTGTGAAAAGCCTTCCTGTTATTGCCATATGGGAAGTACGAGTATGGAAATGAAATAAATTTCAACACTAATATTAAACTAAAGGCGTTAAAGCTAAGGTAAGCCTTATTTCTATACTAAAAATGTATTAAATAAACATTAGGTTTGTATATTTTTATTTTGTCACTAGCAACTCACCCACGCTCCGCTCAAGTTCGCTCCTACTTACGTTTTAATGTTTACTATAGATTTCTTAGAAATAAGATATTTTACCGCAATAAAAAGTATCCTTTATGTTGAACAGGATAACCAGCTATCATCATACCAAATTTCATCAAAGTCCATTCAGTGGTTTTTCCGTGATGCGGTCACAGATAGACAGACAAAAATTCTAAAAACTACAGATTTGGCTTCTGTAATAATAATAATCTTTATTTCAATAAGATTTTCCAAAAAATATTTAATGTATAGATTCGGCTTAGTTACAATTTTATTATTTGTATATATTATGTCATGTGGTAATATTATGTACATTTATACCGCTTATTCTCAAACTAAGACGCATAAAAATATAATATTTTCTTAACTTTTCATTTACTAACATACAGGTTATAATAAACATTAATCTAAATGGTCATGTCCATTTAACCTGTAATAAGTAATTCATTAACAAAATAAATCAATCTCGCTAAGTAAACGACAGACAATTTTAGTAATTAATTGAATGTAACGTAAAGGTAGCAAAAAGCAAAGCACCAGGGGTAGGGGACGATACGGATGCAGCGATTCCGCTCGACGCGACCGCATTTTATCTCCAACTAATGATCTCCCCGTAATGAGGAAGGTGGGAGCTCGCCACCAATAAGGTATTTATGAGAGTACCTCCTGTAATGGAACGTGTCAACTCGGCGGTGGAAAGGTCACCCCGTATTATCGTCCGAGGAAATTAGAGAAAGCGTTCGTGGTCAGGATAACAAATATATTTAGACACTGTATGCATCGCTATGGTATTTAATATTTCTGGTTAATGCGAAAGACTAAGTGCTTAACATATTCACTTAATATAGTTACTTTTGTATTTTTACATTTTCTTACTAATATTGTCGAGTGAACCGTTTAGCTGTCTTTGTTTCGCTAGAAAATAGAAAGCATCTGACTCATATCTTAAACATTTTCTAGACTGGTTTGGTTTCCTCGTTAAGATATCTAAAAGTCAGTCAAGTTATGTATGTAAATGTTATTGCAATATCCAAGTGAAGTTTTGATGAAGCCTACGTATCATCGTGGCCTACAGAGTGTCCAGTTATGGGAAGGTTCTAAATAAAGGAAAAGGACAATAGCCGATCGCATGTCGCCGTACGCAGAATGCGACTCGTTAAGTCGCTTCGGACGCGAATTTAAGAGACAGCTTCTAAATATCCAGGCGGCGTGCGCATGCGTCGGGAGATCTGTATCGCGCGCACAATACCGGCCGTCACGACGACGGTAGCAAAAATATAGACGCGCTCGCGCATGCTTTCTTGTTTTATGTTAATGCAACCTTAAACGACGAGTGAAAAATATCGCATGGAATACCACATATCAATACCCGAGTTAATTATAAAGGGGCAAATCGAAACGAAACAGATCGCGTAGGTATTCACGAACACGTCACAAGGGAAGTAGAATAATTAACGAGTATTCGTCGCGGACTCGACGCATTCCCTCGCACTATCGGCTCTGTCGATCTGCCGCGGGCGAAATTCCGAAACCTAATAAGTCGCCCAGTCTCATTTGTGTAAGGAGTCGACTGGAAAAAAGAACAATACCGATAAAAGAGACGGCCCAATAATTTAGGGTCATTGTTACGCATTTAATTTATGGAGTGCGGGTGGACGATTGATTTGTAGGTTTAGGAGGGGTTCGAAGGAGTCGGGGATAAGTTCTTTTAAATCCGATCGGTGTGGATTACCGGATCTGGTCGAAGGCGTCTCGAAACGTCAATGCGTCGAGGAAAACTCAATTTATTCGCAGTGGCATCTTTGCAATATACATACAATGCTCTGCAGCATTAAAATGCGCGATAGGATTGGCCGGTGCTCCGAGGCGGGGTGCGCAGTCCATATACGCGCTTGTCGTGATGCACATATTAAGTTAGGCCTTCTCTACATGGGATGCGATCGGATACCGCGAGGAATTACGAGATAGGCACCGATGACGTTTGCGCAATCGTGAGTGTCCCTCTGGTATAGAGTACAATGGGCGCGCCAGAATGAAATTATTAAAGGCCGCGAGCGCTCAGTGTTACATTAAAACGCGGGTGGCAAGCTGTGCCTCTAAATTATTGAACAGTCAAACGTCCTCCTCTAATATTATCTTTAATAGACAATCACGATCTAATACGTTATTTATTGTTTTATTAAAGTAAATAAATACAAACATTTTGATCTGGACAGGCTTCTCAGTCAGACGGATAGACAGATTAATTTTTGAGTTCAACAGATGGACTTAGTTACTCAAGCACAACTAATAGCGTAGTTGCATCAACGTGATACTTTCAAAATCCTTTATCATCCACCTAAAATCAAACTTATAGGTAACTCATTACAGGTGAACGCTAAAACACCAGTATCTGAGACGTTTTAGATTTCTCTGTGCAGTATCTGGACAGGCTATACGTCTTCGTCGAGGATTTATATTGGTCGTTTCAATATCGGATTAGCATTAATTGGAACGGTTGGCGATCCAAGATTACGCCTTCTATAAATGGCGAGAGGGTTTATGGTATCGTGGTGCGTTGTTGCCGTCAACTGCGCCCGCGCCGACTTGTAATTGGTCGAGCGCCGGTTGACATTTACACGCCAGCAAGATGGCCGATGCCGTATAGCGACGAATAATTGACAAATCGACTCGTTATACCGATTTTGCGATGACTTAACTTGCAAAATAATATTTTTAAGACTAACAAATAGTTGATATTGACCGGAAATGTACTGCAATATTAAAATAAAGAAAGTGGTTATCATAATTAACGATATGGCCTGAAATATAAAATGACCGTTAAAATGTTACCTTATGCAAATACCACATTTTTGATAATAATTTAATTGATTAAATAACGAGAGCAGATAGTCACCGGTGACTACCGGTGTTTCTTTGGAATGGAAGCTATAAGGAAAAAGGGTTTTGAAATGATCTCATGATGATATTTTATCGAATATTCATAGCTATTGTAAATATGAAATTATATGGAATACTTACTTTGTCTCAGAATATTGTCTTAACGTGCCATTAAACGAATTATTTGTATTAAAAAACTGAACTTCGAATATTATTTTTAAAAATATATGATCCTTAATATGACCGGAGATAGAGAAAGAAAAAATAAAGAGCATTGAAACGAGAGAGAGAGAGAGGATGACTACCACAAGACATTTAATTAAAACATCGAACATTTAATTAAACAAAATTCTACTTATTATATGTATATAACAAACTTAATGTATTTCTTATAAAAATGTAATTTTAATTAGTACTAAAATTTTGGAAAAGTGTTATTTTTTTAGTTTACAATATTTATTTCATCTTATTTTTTCTCTTTTCAGTTGAGGTTTAGTGAAATCAGGATAGAGCACTCTATTGCATGCTATCCTTCTATAAAAGTTACTTTTGCTAATAAGCTAGTTTCGCGGAAACACGAGGTTACGTGATTTGAGTGTTGGACAAATTTCACAGTTCGTATAATTACACTTTGTATTTTACACGCGATTTTTAAATAATCCACTTATTTGGATATATATTTCATCTTTGCTAAGAAATTAAACTTTGTAACAAAATCGTTACAAACAGACACACAGACTAATATAGATTTTTTTTATATATATGTAATATTCCAATCATTTTAAAGCAATGTCTATAGCAAAAGGGGTTCAAGACTGGCGACTCGACGGCGCGGCTATGATAGATCGGTGACAACCGTCCGTCCACACGACGGTGAAAATCTATCAATCACCGGTCCGCTCGTGTGGTCTTCACTTTATAAGTAGGTTAAGCATTCATTTCTTGCGTTCAATAAAATAAATGGATACTATGCAAAAATACATTTAGGTTAAATATACTTAGCGGAGTCAAGAAATGATTTAATAATATGACGATTTGCTCTGTTCTCTATTTTTCCTGATTTAAAAAGGACATCCAAATTGATATATAAATGCGAAAGTAACTCTGTCTGTCAATATGTCTGTAACCTTATCACGCTTAATCCACGGAAACTAATTAGATAAAATTTTGTATGGAGATAATTTAAGACCCTGAGAAGGACATAGGATAGTTTTCATCCCGGAAATCATCTTTTAAGGGGGTGAAAAGGATGGAAGTTTGTATGAAGAATCCATAATTTCTCAAGTAAGGGATATAAACCTTGATCTATAAAATGAATACAAATAAATCATGCTGTAATTGAACGTATATCTAATATACGCTTTGAATCGCCGCGCCATGGTTTTTATGACTTATGAATTTCATTATTTTAATAAATAATTATTTTTAAATTTACTTTAACGATTGCATTTTCTTGTATTAAAAAATCATCATCATCCCACTATCGTCTACGGTTTGACATAGGCCTCTCTTTGTCGGATGTGTAGAATAAAAAAAATATATCAATTCTTAAGAAAATATAAAACTAAGAATATATATTACATGAAGTAACTAATGGTGTAAATCTCAAATCTTGCAAACGTACAGTCGCCGATCAATGCATTTGCTTGCGTGACTAGAACCAATTTGAAGGCATATTTGTTTTGTTTAACAATAAAAATAAATTATTTTAACAGATTCTACACTAAATGTTTACTTAGAAGTGAATGAATATATACTAATGATATAAAATAGAAACTGTATTTTGTCAAATGACAGTGAAGTCTATGTATGATAAAAATTAAGACAAAAATTGTAGGTTTGATTCCTTGTTGACGCTGTTTTAACAACAGGTTTTAAGAAAAGATTTTTTTTATGAGTTTTATCAAAACAACATAAGGTTTATCGTTTTATAGGATAAGCGTATCTATTGATGAATTCCAATAACTTATCTGTTTTTCTCCTTTACTTGTATGAAAATTATGTATGTCATATTAGTATCTCTAGTATGTAAAAATATGAGCAGCTCATTGATCAAAAAAAGTAGGTACTATATATACACAATCCCATGCAAAAGTTCTTTTCAAAATGTCACCAATTGTGTTTAAGTAATAATTCTATTTGAAATAAATATACAACAATGTAAATTAAACCTTAAAAGCAAAACTTGAAAACTGTTTTCACAAGAAAAAAAAAATTAAAAGCGCGCTCAAATGTTCATATGAGCGCTCATTCGGCGTGGACATTTTTTATCGCTGATTGTGTATCTAGTACTTTTTTGATCGATGGATCGAGTACATTATTGGAAAATTTTAATAGCCTTTAATCAGACTAAAAAGCCATAATTGTAAAGAAATCGGCACTAAAATAATAAGTTAATTTATTATTCAAGTTATAAAGAATCACTATATTTGCGAAATGTTGTCATCAATTATAAATATCCATCATGATTTTAAAGGTCTCTTAAAACTTAACTTTATTGATTAATTATTTTTATAAAGTACCGTTTGTGGTATAAAAGATACAGTAGGTGATGGATGGATTTCCCTTGTACCAGGTAGCTTTAAAGCGGAAATGGAAATAAAATAACCATTAAAATTATGAAAAAAAATCTGTCTGTTTTTAAGTTGAAAAAGTTTTGTTTCTGGCTCCGTTTGTAGTGAACCTTCTTGCTGCGCCAGCGGTCGTGGGTTCGAGTCCAGCTGGAGGCATTCATTTGTGAGATAAGCACGAATGTTTGTGATCCAGTCATGGGTGTGTATATTTATAATATGTATGTATTTAAAGTTATATATGTGTAGTATATCAACTATCTGGTATCCATAACACAAGCCTCGTAGCTTACCATGATACTAGATAGTGCTGTGTGTTAATGTCTAAACATATTTATTTAAAAACTACTTTTGCTCGCGATTCCACTCGTGTGATAAGTTCATCGATAAAAAGTTTATAAATATTAAATCTGGAAATGAGCTAAATCGTTACAGCGTGAGAAAGTAATAAACACAACTTTCATATTTATATAACTAATATGATTAATGAATTCCTGTAATAACGTCCATCATTCATCACAACTTTCACACACACACACACACACACATATATATATATATATATATATGTGTGTATCACATATATATATATATATATATATATATATATATATATGTGTACATACTAGCGACTTATCCTAGCTTCGCTCATATACTCGTATTTTACTCCACAATATGACCTATCTATATACTAAATTTCATCCAAATCTGTCAAACCATTTTAGTGCGAATAAGTGCAGACTTCTGGAATTATAATAGGAGTCAGATTAGATGTCACTGTTTAAGACTATGATTTGGATTCGATTTCAGTATTTGAAAATAATATTATAATGTTATAATCATTGTAAAATATTTTACCTATTCTACAATTTAGTTGTTTCCTATAAACAAAAAGCTATTAGCTGATATCTATTAATATTTGTTTAGATATAGATAAAAAGGTTTTCGAAGGCCACGTGTCTATTATCTATGACGATATGTGTCTAGCGTAACACAAACAATTTTAAACTCTATGAAAATAAGTTAGGGGTGTAAATTGAAAATATAATACGATAGAACGATACAACTGATACCAATTAAAAGGTTAACGTAGAAAATCAATGATTGATCATTTGATAGCAATTCCCACTTTAACAACCGTATAAAAAAATGTTTAAAGAGGAAAACTAAATATTCGACTGAGTGTTACCATATCAGACATTCACCTTAATAATTGTTAATGAACGAGATAAAAATAATTAAAATCAAAATTTATATGCAACAGAAATGTTATAAGTTTATACTGAGCCTCTAAAACTCACTTTACAGTGCCTAATAAAAAACTGCAAAGTTCAAATAGTCCGGTAGGGTGTTCACAATAAACATGTCACGTGGACAGTCCGATACCCGACATCGCACTTATCAGTAACCATAACGTCCTCAATTTTACGACAACCTTTCGATGCGCGCGTGCGTAAA